TGTACTCAGCAAGCGCAGTACAGCCCCCAACTCAGATTTGAAAAAAAATAAGTGGATGGCTGTTTTCTGACTGGTCGGCAGACAGCCGACCGGTCATCCCTACTGGTCGGCTGCAATACGGTTGGCGGTCGGGGTAGGCGATCGCCAGGTATGCAACCCTGCATTACACAACGAAGTTGGGGTATCGACTCAGAAAACGGTCATATCCGCTGGCGGCCCCTTTGGCCGTGAGATGGGAAAAGCGAATGGAGGTACCAAGACAATAGGTAGTCATCCTTCCCTGGTCGAGTCTGCACACTATCAGGCTAGGCAGGGTCAGGAGTATGCAATGGCTCATCTTTCACGTGTCACTGCCAGTCAACACATGGCTGTACGAGCGCCGAAGCCAACACCACAGGAGAAGGTGCCCTGGAAACAATGAGTCACTGTCTTCAGTTATGCCCAGAAGTGCGATACATATGGGAAGAAACAAGAGCTATGGAGACACATAACGGAGGCCCCGTTCCCAGAGGACAGGAGAACGTTGCTGGTGGGAAGCGACGTCCCCAGAACATGGCAGCAACATCAGAAGTGCATCTTCCAGCTGTTAAGACAGTATGCGCTCTGGAGCATATGGAAACGCAGGTTCCAACTCACCATTGGGAGAAGACAAATGCACAAACGAGAAGCGAAAGAGACGATGTACAAGCTGCTGGAAACTGACATCAGGGCGCAATGACAGAAGACACGAAGGCAGGCAAACGTGAACCCTGATCAGGCCAAGGAGATAACAGGGAGGTTTCAGAAAGGCTACTAGCCCAGGGTAAGGTAGCCACAATAGAGGGAACCAGGCTGGTTTTCCAATGGTTCGGAGAAGGATTGGAAGGATCGCAAGAGGTTTTACCAGCAACTGGGAATCACGACATCCATATAGGGGAAGCATAGACCAAATAGAGGGCACTAGTAGGAGTAGGGTTTAGGGTTTAGGAGGGCAAGTAGAGGCTAGGGTCTCAGAACGAATAAAGAGTCCCGTCTGCTTCTGATGAAGTCTTCTTTCCCCCCTGCTTGCTGATTGTAGATTTGTTAGTCCCACTTCTGTATTTGGTTCTGGAATAGCATGTATCCGATTGTATCGTTTTTTGAAGGAGTTTCCAAGATGGGTATTGGTTTCACTACTCCGGGTTAAGATATGGAGGGATTCCTGGCCTCCTTTTGCTCATATAATGAAATCATGCTATTTCCATTAAAAAACAAGTGAATCCGCCGCTTCTCAGCACCAGGCCCACCCCAGGCACGGCCAGTATCTGGCCCGGGCAACATTGAGGGTGTTCGTTTTAGAACATGAGGGACGCAAAGCATTCGGGGGGAACGAGGCATCAGCACGCCGTCGGATCCTTTGTAAATCAGAACTATTTTATTGTGGTCGCTGCTGGATTCGAACTCACATCTGCGATTGAACAGTTTCATGTGTGCATCAACTGAGCAGCCTGCCAATGTGCAAAAATGAGAAGGAATCTTCCGCAAGAATATTGGAAGATACACCACGACGGACATATACATTGAAAAGAAATCCTGGTGTGAGTATGGACAGCATTCGGGGGGGCATCGGCCAAGGCATCAGCACACCGTTGGATCCTTTGTAAATCAGAACTACGTTATCGTAGTCAATGCTGGATTCGAACTCACGTCTGCAATTGAACAGTTTCATGTGTGCATCAACTCAGCAGCCTGCTAATGTGCAAAATGAGAAGGAATCTTCAGCAAGAACAAAGGAAGATACACCGCGACAGGACATATACATTGAAAAGAAATGCTGGTGTGAGTATGGACTAAGGAGCTGTCAGATGCAAATGCCGTCCCCCGCGTGCGCGCGCGCGCACGAGAGAGAGAGAGAGAGAGAGAGAGAGAGAGAGAGAGAGAGAGAGAGAGAGAGAGAGAGAGAGAGAGAGGAGTTTTCTATCCATAGGATGAGCGGAATGGGAATGAATCTGTCGCTAGCACATGGAAATATACACTGCCACATTTTCAGTCTTTGGCAGTGTATATTTCCATGTAGTGGCAGTGGATACTTCCATGTTCTAGGGGAAAAGCGTGGCAATGTCGGTCTGAATCTTCAGCCAGAACATGGAAATATACACTGAGAACAGCTAAGCCTCCAACCTCTAGGCTGGTCTCATGATACTTCCATCGATAGGATGAGCAAAACCGAATGAATCTACCGCTAGAACATGGAAATATTTTTTTTCTTTTGTGTGTGTGTGCGTGTGTGAAGAGAGAGAGAGACAGAGTTTTCCAGCCATGCACGCAGAGAAATAGAGAGAGGCTGCTTCCATCGATAGGATGAGCAAAATCGGAATGAATGTTCCACTAGAATATGGAATATACACTGCTTTCCAGCCATGCGAGCAGAGAGATAGAGAGAGGCTACTTCCATCGATAGGATGAGCAAAATCGGAATGAATCTTTCGCTAGAACATGGAAATATAGACTATTACACTGCCACATCTTTTTTCTTTTCTTTTTGTGTATAATTGTGTGTGTGTGAGAGAGAGAGAGAGACACACAGAGAGAGGGATAGAGAACAGGTAAGTCTCTCAACCTCGTGGCTGGCCTCACGCTAGTCCATCGATAGGATGAGCAAAATCGAATGAATCTTTCGCTAGAACATGGAAATATACACTGCCACATTTGTAGATTCAGTCCACAAACCCGTGGCCAAACAAGACCCCATTGCCTTCCGCCAGAGTGTTCCACACGATTGTTGCACAGTCACGCCGCACAAACTCCATTAACACAGGCCCGAACCAACCTCGGTCTGAACAGTCGCCACCAGGCTCAAAAAAATAATCGTGGAAAAACAATATTTGAACACTCACCACCAGACTCGAAACGATAGTCAGGCGCGAGAAAAAGAACCGCGGAAGTCCCTAGTGGGCCTCCAGCCAGTCCCCAACGAAATTCCCAACACTGGGCGACGGCGTTACGCAAGACCCGCTCTTCCCCGTAAAAATAGTATAGGAAAACAAACAAACAAAAAAAAAACCCTGATACCTCTGCTGCCAACCTGTACCCGGCCTGGTGTGCATGGGTCCTCCAGCAACGTTGTAACACACAGTCCCCCCTGCTCCATGAGTTGGGCCATCATGACATTCAAAAACAACTTACGATTCTACCATACACTAAAGTGGACCTAGCCATGCCACAATTGATCTCTATCTAGTCCTGTCACACACACTGACATGCAAAAAGGGCCCCTCAAGCAAGCATGTAACATGCATGTCCTCCTCCATTGCGAGCAAAGTGGTGCCAAACAATCTGCACGTTGTGTCCGATTAGCTCAGTGAATAGTATGGGGAGTGGGAACACGACGTACCTCCGAAAGTGGTGTTCCCTTTCGCTTCAGGAACTGAAGGGTATTTAGGCACGCCCGGATGTCGCATTCTGTGGAAAATATATAAAAAGTAATTCATGCATTAGGTTCACTTACAGGCCTGACTGTATGTGGGAAAAAAAACAGTCGACAAGAGTGGAGCAAGAGCAAAAAGGACACTAAAATGCACACCTCTGGCAAGGAACCAGGAACAGCGCTGATCCCAAATTGAACATATGAGCAGAAACAAGCTGATCCCAAAGTGACAATAGAGCATTACCTGTATGTTCAGAGAGAGCATTAAGACCACGCATATCGGTTTTGTAGTTCTCTAAACTGCAAATTGTCTTCAGCCTTTACACACATGAGAAACATCATCCAATCATCACCACCATGATAGGTCATTCAGATCAGTCCCATGTCGTCCCCAACATTTGCCAATAGTTACCAACCGACCACAACCATCAATAGTGATCAACATCATCATCATCATCAACCATTGAACCATTCAGCATCATAGAGCCACCGCTGTTATGATCTTCTTTGGATTCCCGTAGCTATGTTGCCTTGTGCTGGTCATCAAGTTCCCCAAGGATGGTAAAGAGCCTTGAATGTAAATACTAAATACTACAAAGTGACCCCAAGAGAGGGGTCATACAAGAAGGCAAGATTCAGGAGTTCAGACCCAGGGATAGGGGGGGGGTGGGGGGGGTGGAGGACCTGTAAAATGGATGTGCTTGGAAACCCATCCATATAGAGGAAAAGACCAACAGCGAAAACAGAGGGCTGTAAATATCCTGCCCAATTCTTGATGCAAGAAACAACTGGCATTTATCGCAGTTCAAGAAGAAGTGGAATAAGACAAAAAAGAGAAGAGAATGAAGAGGAGGGGAAGAAGAATAAAAGATTTGATCAACTCATCCTTCACGCTTCTCTCCATATCCATCATGATCCCTCATGAACTCCTCTTTATTTAGAATTGCAACAACAAAGAATTGTTTTCGTGGCGCACCTATGCAGTGCGCCCCTGGGTGATGCCCTCGCACCGCATGCACAGGTGCAGCACGCTGGGCCAATGCCATTGCCCCATGTGCACGAGCACACGTGCAGTCACTGCATTGCCCTTTTTTTTGTGGGCGTGTGTTTTAGATTTTCACCACAACAGCCCCTGTTCCACCCAGATGAGTAGATCCAAAATCAAAGCAGTTTTACCTCTACTGCAGACAATAAAGCACACTTGAGATGAACCAATCCAACAATGAAACAGTTTCAGGAGATTTTGAGTTGAGCAGACGCCATTGCCTATGGTAAGTGGCCACCCCTACAGACTGGGTGAGGGCTGTGGAAGCACCACATCCAATTCTCCAAGGTGCAGTTGCTGCACCGAATCGTGGCTCCTACATGCTAGGAACACAGGCACGCCGACCACAATTGTAAAGGCATTGGCGTTCCAGCTGTTCCAGCCCCTGTCTACAAATTGGACATGACATGTTAGGGTGCCGCAGAAGGGTTACAATGATGGCTGTTGACTCTTTGAAATTGTTGTTTCCAGAATCTAGGTGAACATAAGAGGAACATAAGAGGTTGAATAGGAGTAGCGGTGACACAAGGGTTTTAGTCTAGTATTCAAATGCTCTCGAGTCGCCTGCTTCTTATTTCTCCTTTCTAGTATTCAAATGCTGCTTCTTATTTCTCCTTCGTTCATGTTGAGTGGTAATTTTTGTATGGGCATGGAGATTCTACTGTTTACGAGGAAACATGGACATTTGAAGGTTCACACTGACCTGTTTGCCATCCTGGAGATACTGGGCTGAGTGAAAGCAAAGATCCTGTGACAAAAGACCACCCCATTCAATAACAGCACCGACAAGACAAGCATTATGAGCCTGCTCAAATGACAATTAAAAACAACTTCCAGACAATGCAAGGTTTCTCAACTCGAGAAGAGCTGGAAAAAGACAAGAGCGGAGTAGATCGTGGAAGGAAAGCAGAAAGAAGGGAATGCACGAGTTTGAACCAATGCCATCTCCCTTTCATAGCCTGGCTTGAGGTTCTTCTCGCTCTGTAGGTCTACTCCTTTCTATGGCTACTACTCATCGCCACTGAGGTCTTTTTCCTCACCCTCAAGCCGCTGCTTCAACCCAGAGCTCCACCTAACTCAGCCTCAGGGCAGAGCAGAAGCACGACCGCTGGTGGCCTACTCATGATACCAAACGATATGTCCACCACTCTCAGCTTACTCATGTCAGGCACTTCAGCCTCTACCAGTGCAGTAGGCCTACTGGAAGTTCCTGCCTTTGGCAGGAACAAGTCTGCAATCTACTTGCAGGGTTTGTGCCTAACCTGATATCCCCCTACATACGGGCGCTGAACCATCATGACCTTCTTTGAAAGCTACCGGACCTTGCTAAGCCTACCGGACTTCTCTAGGCCTCCCCAAGTTGCTGGAAAATTCTACTGGGTGTTTGGCAAATTCTACATTTGCCCTCGTCTGTCCTGGCCTATGCAGTATGTCCCGTTGTCAGCACGAATACCCTTACAAAGGCTATGAAACACCCGCGGATCTCCGCGGGGCCGAGCTCGGAGGGCGGCCGCATATACGGCCGCGTCCGCGGCCGACCTCGTCCGCGCCGCGGACATGAATTTGCCAGATTTTTCCTGAATTAAATAATGGGTAAATATATATATTGTCACATCACTACAAACTAAAAGAGCGCACTTTGCGGAACAAAGAATAAAAGCAAAAAACGGGCACAGTGATAACATGCAAAAAGAAAAAGAAAAAGAAAAAACAAGGGCAGATTGAAACCATTAAATTTCTCATTCTT